TCCCCGGTACAAAAAAAACCCAACCCCCCCCCCCCAAGAAAAACAAAAAAATAAATGTCACATTGCTAGCACTGTGGAAGGTAGGCTTTAAGGTACTCTTCTTAATAACATGTTACTATCTTCTGCAACCACTGTTGTAACTGTGCTTATTCTGTGCTGCTGGTTTTCTTTATATCCTTCCAGTTCTAGCTCTTTATTAATAATGTTTACTTTTGCCTATTTTGGAACTTTGTAAAAGTGGAATCACGCTACTGATATATAATTTTATAACTGTCTTCTTTCTCTCAAAATTATGTTTGTGAGATTTAGTTGTAGTTTTCATTGCTATACTGTTTTCAACTGTATGAGTATTTAAGAAAGCTTAAATGCATTTTGTTATTGAACCTTTGGGTCATTTATTTATTGTATTATGAACCATGCTGCTATGAATGTTCTTGTATGTGTCTCCTCAGGTACAATGTGCAATATAATTGATCTATATCAATTATCTCTCAATTTCCTTCAGAACGCAAAAATCACATCTTTTACACTTAATAAAGGCTTTGAATAGCTTTCTCTAGAATATATACATAGAAGTGGAATGTCTGAGTCTTAAGGTCTACCTAAAACTACGAAAATGTGCGTAACTCTTGATGTTCCTGACTCCCAAATTGCCTTTTCAACCCTTGGGATGGGAAGCTCTGGGTGTTCTAAACAGATGCCTGATCATTTCTGAGTGACCTTCGTCTTGAGGACCTGACTTCAGGTCCCATTTTCAAGGGCAACAAATATGCCACTCATTCACTGAGGGGAGCCCCTGCTGTGGAGGACATCAGCTTCTGCTATGTTTATGGCCCCTGCCTCCTGTTAGTCATCACAATGAGACAGACCGGGTGACCCTATCCTGGCCAAAGGTCTCCTTGCTGAGTATGGATTTGGTCATTCAGCAAAGTCATGTGTGCTCATTCTCTCACAGGCACATGAGCTATTTGGTAATATTAAATGCTCAAAACCCAAGTCTAAATATAACCTTTCCCCTAATGTTTGGAGGACCTGGGTCAAAAGTATAAACAGATGTCATATGTTTGCCTGAATTACTGAAAATTATAAACCACTCCAATTAACTGCTAATCTCTTTTTTTTGTTTGCTTATTTATTTATTTTTAGCAAAACATTTTTAAAATTAAGTTTATTGGTACATTTTAGGTATTCATTACAGTTACATTCATTATTGGGACCTTGTACCTTTACATGATGTATCTTGGTTCTTATATTTTCTCCATTCCCCTACCCTCCCTTCAGCCCCTCCACCATTCCCTCTTTATAAAAACTGCATTTTTTCCTTTTCTCATGTTTTTTCTTTTCCCTTCTTTCCTTCCCCTCCCCCTCCCACTTCCCCTACTTCTTTAGCCCTTTTCTGCCTATTTCAATTATCAATTATGCATTTTGATCCTTATTTGCACTTTTAGTTTTTCACACCAGAGAAGCTATTCGGTATATACACGTTTGTCCTATTTATTTCACTTAAGAGTATGTGTGCATCCATTTAGCTATGTCTCTAGTTTCTTGTTCTTTATGGCTGAGTAGTATTCCATTTTATAAAAAAACCACATCTTCTTTATCCAGTCTCCAGTTGATGGGCAATTGGGCTGTTTCCAAGTTTTAGCTATTACAAACTGTGCCAC